AAAAAACAAAAAAATAGGGAAAAAAAACCAAAAAAATAGGGAAAACAAAGCCTGGCTCCTTGAGAAACTCCCACGTACCTTTTTTGAAGCGTAAACGTCATCATGACGGGGTTGACCAAAGCTGGTATCACCCACAGACCTGCCTCATACGTGGCAAGTGAAGAGTAGTAAGCCAGTCGAACTTGCACTTGCAAACAAATAATGGCAGCAAAACGGCATTGATGTTAACCCCAGCCCTCCAACGGCCATCTAGATTCATCAGGATTAATGAAACAGGGGATGAGTATGTAAGGGCTAAGCCGGGCTCATTGAATCTGCCTCCTGCACTTATCGAAAGTATACCTCATGCCTGGCATAACTGTTAGCCTGGCATCCTGGAATGCTCAGGTGCCGGCACGCTTGAAAAACCACAGGGGATAGGCAATTACGACGGAGATCTCAAGGACGAGTCTCGGATAGATCAAGGCCACTCAGGCTTAGCGGACCACAAAGCCATTTGAGTAGTACGTATTTTAATTGGGGATACCATGGTACCCAATATACAGTAAGATTCTATCCTCCTATTGGGGTATAATATTCAAGGAATATAATCTTACTGGGTTTAACCACCCAAAAAACCCTACTCATTTACCTACGCCTGCAGAAAGCCCTTAAGCGCCTCAAACCCTGAATGCCTAAACCCTAAACCCTAAACCCTAATGCTAAACAGCCTTTGGCAAGCTTAGGTCGACCAGCACTCCCAGGCAGTTCTCCGCCATACAGTTCAGTCCATTGAGGCATCCGGAGTAGTAGAATTATGTGGGGGTTTCCCAAAACTAGGGGTACCTTATTGGGGGTCCCTGTAATAAGGAATATACTATTTTGGGGTCTATGTTAGGGTCCCCCTATTTTGGGAAACTACCATGTAGAACTTGTTACGGAACAGGAAAGGGGTGTTTGATGTCGTTGGATTCCGGTCCGTTCGGGCTTCGGGGGGTGAGTGTTCTTAGGCAGCACCGGAGATAGATCAAGTGCTAAGTTCAAGGCCTGTAGCCTCCAGGCACCAGGGTTCATGGACTGCGGAAGTTCCACGAACTACTGTACTTACAGCCAAAAACATGTTGCTTGGGGTTGTCTTACGTTTTCCGGCACTATCGTTTCAGAAATCATGTCCCTAAACTGTAATTTTGCAGGTTCCTGGAGCTGTGTCAATATGTGGAAGTCTTGTTGGAAAGTCCTCTTATCAGACTCTGTAGGGCGAATTTGTAGGTTAAATCCCCGCGCCCTGATGAACATGAAGCATTCGAGCTTCCAGCGCTTCCGGGTCCTACGAGAAAGACTTAAGCCCGGGAGCGGGTGTGTCAAAGCTGGGGCGGCATGGGCAGTTTTTCAGCCTGCACGCAAGGGACTGGTCATATAAAGATTAGCGGATGGTGCTACAGCTGCAGAAGCAGCCATGTAAAGCCTGTACAAGGCGACACTAGAGCACACGTGTTTCATGGCTGCAGCTGCCAAAGAGCACGTCGTAGGTAGTTGGGCTGCAAGGGCTGGAGATGGGGACAGGCATGGTTCTTGTTTTGCTTCCTTGGCTTCCTTGGGTCCGTTGCCACGCTCCAAGCAAAGCCGGGCAATCGCCAGTCTCCAGATCTTACTGTAGTAGTCCGTGATCAGCTGGACTGCTCAACAGCTACCCCCAGAACGCAAAACACCTGCACCTAATTCAATTCCCAAGCTCTATCATCAGCCTCCGCCACGGCTCACACATCCCCCAAACAAGAAGCTTCCTCATGCTGGGAAATTGCCATGGCTTTCATCCTCGACAGTCTATCATTTGGACAGCGGAGCTGCTCTCAAAAAGAGAGCAGATTGTGCAGGCTCGAAAAGCGAGCCAACTACAGCTGATTGAGCGCCAACGAGCACAGGAGGAGGCGACCAGGGAAGGACGCTGGTACTTTGAATCTATGGATCTGGAACAGGATCTCTCACAAACATGTTGAGCCCTGCCTGTGGCCGGGTCTCGTCATTTCTGCAGTCCGGGGTTGCTTTGGGGGCCGGCTGATCAACAAATCCCTGACTTCCAGTTCTGCCGCTTGGTGTTCAGGATTGAGGTTTTGAAGTTCATGCTGCTCCGACTTTCAAATTGCAAGGGATAATGGAAAAGGAAATGGAAACTACTATTATATAGGGGTATTATAGGGCTTATCAAGGGAGAATGAAAAACAAAATGGGTTGTACTAACAAATTTAGGAGTCTTGGAAGAAGTCTTCTCATGTGCGAGCATCACATCCCTCTGAGACGTGAGCACCGTCGTGTAACTACGATCTCTGTCTACCCGTGTAGCCTTCCTTTCCTCAGCCAATTGCAGCTGAAATTGAATAAGGCTAGCACTTTGGGATTTGGGGGCGGCCCATGTAATAGTCCCATAAACGCTTTGGATTCTGATTTTCAGGGGTCAGGGGATTCAGCAACTGAGAACAAGTCTTCTCCATCGTGCCCGCTCTGTTCTCAAAGCACCCACAAAGCCTGCACGAGTAAAGTTTCCTCATGGGATGTAAAGCTTGAACTGCTGCGCAAGAGTATACAGTGAATCTTTCCGGGAGTATGATCCTGTAACCTAGGTATGTCAGAACAAGCTCATTTCCACAAAGCTTGAACCTGGCTCTTAGGCAGCCATGCACATCCCACACCCTCTTAGCAAGCCCAAGGCCTAATTTATGAGGGCCTGCAACTTGAACCCTGCACCCATAACCCAGTATATTATAGTATATTATAGTATATTATTATAGTATATTATAGTATATTATAGTATATTATGGTATACCATGGTCGATTATAGTCCGGAGTGTGTGACTGTGGGACTATAGGCATTTCAAGGCGACTGGCGAGCTGAGGGTCTAGGGAAGTCAATTCTTTCAGCAAGTTCTTCAGCTTTTCCCACCTGCACTTGGGATCTGCCCGTAATAATAGTACTAATAGCAGCAAGAATAACTGAGTAACTTAAGGCGACCTCACCCCAATTGGTGCCAAAATGGCCTGAAATTGGGCATGAAGTTATTCTTAATTACACAGTTAAACCGAAATAGTAGTAATAGTAGTAATAACAGTACTAATAATAGTAATAATGGCAATAGTGCCACTTTAACCGCCAACGTATGAGTACTTGCACAGGCTGCCATCCGCAGCAAGGGAGCTGAAGCCAAGCAGCGGGTCGACCTCGAGGCATTTCAGAAGCTGGCTTGGTAGTTTAAAGGAGGTATATAAGAGTGTATTATGACAGATGATAGTACATTATATTATAGAATATTATAGTATATGATAATGTCTTTTGGTATATTATGGTATATTTTAGCAGAAAAAGTGTAGTAGCTTCCGAGCACGTACATAATACCTCTAAACCTGGAACCCCAAGGATCAAACCTTCGTAGGTTATCTCAAGTGGAGATCTCATTCAGAGTTGAAGTTCACAGAGCTGCTTTCACTGGCTTCTGTTGCTGAGAGTGTGTGGCTCATCTTTTCAGAAGTTGTCACTCCCAGCATGAGAATAATGGTATTTTTCAAGGACCAAACGATCCATCCATCTCATGGCAAACTGTTGGTTTGGGTTTAGGGTTTAGGGTCAAGCTATTGTTGCCCCTGCATTTGTTCATTGAATTGTTCTTCACTTGTATCTGCAGACTCAGGACAGTGGCTGCATTGTCAACCTTCTCGGCACAGCTCGATGCGGATTCCCAAACCTTGTTACGCCCCATGTATACGAAACTGCTCCGGCTACCCTCCTCTTATTCCGTACATGTTTGCTTTGCCAGATTACCAGTGGCAGTAGCAAGCAGCCGCAGAAGCAGCAGGCAGACAACTCGCACACAAAAAACGAAGCTACCACCCACCGCCTTTCCCCTCCTCCCAGTCGTTGCCCCTCTTTCCCCTCCTCCCAAATGCCTGCAAACGCGGAAATGTGCACCAAACTACACGGACAGCACCCTGCACTCCAGCTACATCTTTAAACCTTGCAACGACCTGCACCTTGGCTAAGGCCTACCAGACATGAGGCACCGTCTTCAACTCCTTAAGGGGATTATATAAAGGCTAGGAGTTTAGACTATGGCTCACCTGAATAGTGGGTGTAATGAGGCCAGGGACCCAAACCCGAGCCATCTTTGTCGCCTGACCCCTGAACAACAGTTTAAAAAATGTATATTCTAGTATATAAAAGTATACAATATAGCATATAATAGTATATCATAGTATATCATAGTAGTTTATAGTAGGTTATAGTAGATTATAGTAGTTGCGCGCTCCAGCGCAATTTCCGAGAGGCAGGGGACCCGAAAGATCTAAAAGATCGGAGTCCCTTCCGCGGAGTCGTCCTCTCATTCCCGCTGGCTATCCCCCACCTTCAGCCAAGACCCTAAAGCCGAAATCCACAAATAGTAAGATCTAATACCCTAAAATCCTAGACACTATCTGGAGTAACTTGGACTTTAAAATGCAAGGATGCCAACATATTGTGCCCACCTCCTTTCTGGGTACATTGTCTACCGTAAGTATACATCAAATCCTAAACCCTAAGATTTTGCAGGCACAGAGGGCCTTAGCTGCCCTGGAAACCAGTCATGGCGGTCAGTGGATGAATCGCAGTCCATGCATCGCCTACAGATAAAGCACACGCACCTTCCTCCGAACAGAGCTGATTTCTTAAAGGATCATGCGGTTCCATGACTCAGGGCTAAGGATCTACTTAGAGGCTTAATATGAAATGCTAATAGACGGAGGGATATAAGCCTCAATCTTCAAGATTTTATAGAAAATCCGCGGATTCCTCCAACGGCATGGTTCTTTTAATCGGGCTTGCATTGGCGCTGGCCTTGCTTACAAGGGACGATGGTCGCTATATAACCTTTTTTTTGAATCCTATATAGTATCTATACAAGCACGACCATTAGGGCGAATTGATGGAGGGAGCTATAATTATCTTAATAAAGTATCAAATGGGAATTTGATAGAATAAAGATATTATGAAAAGGCAGGAAAATGGATTTTTATAAATAGATCGATCGGATATCATGAGAAATTCTTCTAATCATATATATATTGATAAATTATACGTTTCGAAAATATGAAATGGTTATTCGTATTCATTTCGCTCGTGGGCGGATGAATCTTTCCGAATTATTTTCAAATTGGTTTATACGGATTCTCTAGGGACTCTAAGTTCTCGGCAGATTCAGAATAGATTTCTCAGAAAAACTAAATCTAAAATTTTCGAGCCTTTTGGGGAGGGTCTTTGCATTTGGAGCCATTTTCCGCATATTTATCTCGCTTTTCTTATTTGAATAGGTATTCGGGGATATATAGATTTGATACGATGATATTAATTTTTTTTCATATATACGCTCTATTTACTCGTTGTTACGTAGATAGCTCAGGAGAGATAAATGAGATTTAGAGAGGAGAGATCGGGTCGGACGCGGGGATCGCACGACCAAAAACATTCCAAGATTTCGAATCGCGCGGCCGACCGGGAGAACGTGCTCCCGAAATGGAAATCTAAAATCTTCTAGCTTATTTCTAGAACGAATTTCTTTATGATTTATCTCTCTTTTCGGCGGAATATATAGTTCCGAGATAGAAATCTCAAATCTTTCAGAATTTTCAATTTGGATATATATATATTTAGAGATATATATGTTCTCTCGATCGGCCGCGCAGATAATCTATATAAATTGGCCGTTTTTATTACGTAATTGATTCTTCATCGAGGTCTACGTATAATTTTATATATTGAATATTCATCGGGTTTCTCGTTATAGATATTTTTTATATATATTTTCTATTATTGAAGATTATAGATTTATTCTATTTCTTTCTTGATTCTTTGATAAATGATTTACTATTCATTTATAGATTCTCTAATTTTTTTAATTATTCGTTAATTTTAGAGATTCTGAATATTTAGATATATTTCTGAAAAGAAATACGGTAAAATATTTAGATCTCTATATCTTATTCTTTCTATTTCTTAAGCTAATAGAATTGATTATCATTGATTGATGGGGTCTATTTATATCTTAATACCAATTCTAAGAATGATATGAAGGCGCGTTTATATTTTAGATATAAATTGATTATTATTGGAATTTCTGAGATATTTTGCTTCAGGATGGTCAGAAATGAAGATCTTTAGAATGAGAATTAGGAATCTATATTTCTATTTTTTATATAAGAATATTCATAGAATTATTCAGAATTATCGTCGAGATATTTCAAATAATATAGTTTCTTCGGACGATATCTTCTTTCTCATTTAATTTATTTCGATAGCTTCTCGTCGAAAAAGATGATGATATTATATTAAGAAAATTATATCTTCGATTCCATTCCTTGATAATTCTTATGAAATTTGGATATACTTTAAATATTAGAGAAGATGATATTCTCTATATAAAGAAGGATTCTCTTTATTTCATTATGAATTGATTTTTCTTTTCTATATAAATATGATCGATCTAATTTCTCGGAAATCTCAATCGATTTTCGTATATCTTATTTGAAATATTGAAAAATAGATCATATTTATTAATCTAAATCATAAATAAATGGTCGGAAATATATAATTAGAGAATTGATTTGATAATTTCTCTATATTCTGGCGAATCATCAATTTACGAATTTCTATTTATCAATTTATCG